TACAAAGAAATTCCCTGTCCCATTACATTCTTTTTATGTGTGCTCATGGTCTAATTACTTTCAGTATTTATAAGGTAGTCCTAAAAATTGGATTCAAGGACTTAGTAGGATTTCAAAGCTGTTGTGAGGACTTTTTTCCTTGAATTTCCTAACAATGATTTCCACATGAACATAAAACCAAATGCCTCTGAGCAATAACCAAAATCTTTGTGGAATAATCTTAAGCAAGGATTAGAAAAGTTAGAAAACGACATGAAGGATGCCTAGAATGCATGAATTTGAAATAAATGACAGCAGTCCTTGCTTGGTCCACTTCCAATATGCGTAAATTGCAGTTACCATGGTTTAGTTAAATAACACAAATGTCCCCAAATTACAGTACAAATTTCAGCTACCACAATACCACAATATATTAACTAAGTACTTGGATGAAGTGCAAACTTCACTGCCATCTCTTTAGTCCACAAATCACCCTGTTAATATCAGGTGTGTATCATGATCAGTGACCAATCATGTCACTTCTTTCAAAGACCGTTGGTGACTACTCACTGAACACCTGTTACTCAGTTCATGCACAGACAGCGGAGCATGTGTGTTGTGTAACTTCCTTGTCTCCCAGTAATAAATCAATGTGATATTTTACGATGGATTATCAAAGGAGGAAGCAGGGCAGCAAAAATGAAAGAATAAAGAAATATAAAGTAATAATGTTGGAAGTGAGATTCAAATAAAATGTAAATGACATCACAAAATAACTGACTGTGGGAATGTCAACACTACTGCCATTCAAGAGACTCTAGATATACAGTCAGAGAAACTCAGTAAGAGTGAACTTATTGGCATAAATCAGGACAGTGAGTAGGTTGTGACAAAAGGAATGCAGATGTCCCAGAAGTGGTGACTCTGGCAAAAAACTTCACATAATAGAAATTCTTGGAGATATTGTATAACACTATAAATGCAAAGGATAAAATGCTGGAAGCTGATCCAAACCTTAAAAGGAGTATGACAATTCACTGAGGCATAAAAAAAGATGCTTGCTCTGTATTCAGTTATATAACAAGGAGGCAAGCACCGTTCAAACTACTCTTGATGGAACACTTCAATTCTCAGTGTTTCTAATGTTTCAATTTACCATGTACTAAATAGTTTTACTTTTTTCCCCCATTTCCTAATAGTGTTATTACTGACAGTAAGAGGGTTTTTAATGTTTTGACAAAAATTTTAAAGGTCATGGAGCAACAGTAATTTTTTTGCATTTATTTTAGATTGCTTTGCAGAATTTCAGCTCATTTGGTCATGTTTATGGTCTCACAGCTTTGTGTAAAGACAAGTTCAAAGGAAGGAAAAGTAAAATAGATATGCCTGACTCAAAGAATTTCAGAATATTGTAGTCCCTGGTATGGAACTGAACCTTAACCCTATAGGAACTAGAGATCTTGGTGGGCAACACTTGAAATCATTTATCAAACATCTTAATGACAGAAATTACCTGGTATACTACACCAAAGACTAAGGAAGAACCTGGAAATCAGCCAGTAACTTAAGTGTCATTGGCATGGGAAACTGTGAGTTGGTATAATTTTCAGAACAAAAAGAAAGTGCCCAAAATGTAATACTTCTGGAGATTTGTGACTTTGGTTAAGACTCAGTGTTTGATTCTAGTTATTGTTGAGCTGTTTGCTAAGCATTAAGATTCTGCTTAAAAGTTTGTAAGTTAAAGATAAAGGCAAAGATGTTTAGGAACATTTCCCTGTAAGAAACCTTTGTCTTCAAAACATGGTCTAGGGCTCACCAAGTCCTGGCTTGGCTTCAGGAGTTTAAAAGTCTTCTCAGGCTTCTTCCTCAGTAGGATCAGTGGCATCCTGAGATACAGTTCAAGATACATTTCTGGTAGAAAGTAACTCTTTCCCCTAAAAATGAAGGCACAACCTGTTCTTCACTACACGTTTAGCCTTTGGAAAGTCCAAGTTGAATCTTGGACTACCAAAAGACTGACATACAGAACTAGAAAAGCCACTGTGGAAAACCTCCTGTGATCAAATACAGACCATAAATGGTAACCTGAAACAGTTAAGGACAACTAGAAATCCAGAAAGTGAAAGTCATGGGTCTGAGTTACTATTAATAACTCAGGGACTATATGATAACCACACTCTAAAAAACATAACCGAATGGCAAGTGGAAAACAGCGGGGCTCTCCTGTTTGGTGAACCCCCAGGCCATAAACAGGAGGCCTCTTAGAAAGAGTACCCAAAAAAAGGTAGACTCAGATCCATGACTAGCCCAAAAATGGGACAGAAGGCACAGAACATGCACACTTACATGTTTCCTCAACTGAAAAGTGCATGCTACAAAGCCAGGAGCAACATGCATTTCATTTCCACATCTCAGGCCTCTACGCCCATGCCTAACAATCAGTAGGCACCCTGTCAATACATACTTGTTGAATAAATTAAAGTAGGTCTACATTCTGCTCTGTCAGTAAGTTTCATCTACTGAGTATGTGTACCCAGATACAGGTTAACTCTCCCTGAAAAAAAAAAAAAGTTCTCAAAATAAGTCCAAGACAGGGAGGTAGTACACTGTAGTGGTAAACAGCACTGGTTCAAATCCCAGTACCGCCAGAGAAGAACTGGGGGACTGTGGGCAAACTGCCTAACCTACCTGAGCCTCACGTTTTTATCTACAAAATAGGAATGAGAACGATGACACCTACCCCCACCGAGTTCCTGCGGGCTGGAAATGTGACTGCAGAGGTCAGTGCTTTTCAGCATCTACCGTACAGAGCAAGGGTTCCACAAATTTGTAGGTATTCTTATCATAAACACCTTTCAATGGGAGTCCAGACTGAGTGAATCAAGCATATAGGCCCTCATCCACATTCCCCCCAACATTTACTTGTTCTAAGGAGAGCCTAAAAAAAATTGCCACCAAAATATTTTTTTTAGTTTCATAAGCATGTTCTTTAAAATATGATCAGTGGAATAAATATAAAAAAGAGCATTCAACCTAATACAAACTGAAAATTAAAACAAGATTTTTTTTTCACCCATCAAATTATTAGCAAAGATTTTAGAATTATGTCAGGATTATGAGGTAAAAAACAGATATCCTCATCTGCAGTTAACTGATACAAAGTTTCAAGAAAACACTTTGGCAGTATGTATCAAGAGCCTTAAAATAGCTCTGCCATTTCCAGTCTTACGTATCTTTAGCAGAATCATTTCCACAGTATCAAAAAAAATTGGAAACATCCTTAATATCCATCAAGATGAGAGTTAAGTAAATGAGACCACAGACAGCTATAAAAAGATTTTGAAAACAAGGGGGGAAATCAGGGTATAAATATATCAGTTACATGAGGCCATTTATGGTTTTCTTTTTTTAAGAAACGTAACAAAAATGCACAGAAAAAAACTGAAAGGGAAGGAGGAAACTCACTAGAATACACCAATAATTTATTTCTAGGTTGGGAGGCTTCAGATTTTTGTTTTTGCTCTATAATTTACTATTTTTTAAGTCAGAAAGCTTGTAAAGCTTATTTTGTGAAAATATGGCTGACAGAGAACAGACTGACTCCTCGTTCATTCAATAAAAATAATGTCACTAACGATAATGCCACGATCAGCAAACTTCAACCAATCCAAAGGCAACAAATCACACTACTGTGAAATAATTTCATTATCTTAAAAAAAGGCTATTCTCTACCTCAATCATATGACACGGGCTTAAGGCCTGAGTCTGCCAATAAAGATAAAGGCTTTCCCTAACATCAGGATAGACTGAATAGGTCTTGATGCTCTATCAGTCTTTTTTGTGATATAAAAGGCTTACCAAAATTCTAAGAAAATTTCCACAAGAAGTCTAGACACTTTTTTGAAAATAAAAGTTGTGAAATATCTTGACAGTTGTCACTGTCAGCCCTTTCTTCCCTTTCTTTGCTTTTAGACAAAAGTTGAGAACAGCTTTGAAATCGCAAAGCATTTTCCAGACTGCCGTACATTGAGAAGAGACCACAGAATATATAATCAGTCATCTCTCTTCCATTTTCATCACTTCAGATTTCTGGGTAAAAGTAAAATTCATGAAATATACAATAGGCCAATCCACCACAACATTTTACTAGCTTTCACTTTTTTAAAGGTTGCAAAGTGAAATCAATGAGATCAGCATTATTCACACCTTACCTTGTATAAATGCTAACTGGCCTTCAATGACTGACCATTTCATTGCACGATAGAGAGATGAGGAATAAATCTTACACGTTAGAAGTTTAAATGTTTTAGCCTGTCACCTCAGAACCTCACCAATTTAGTAAATTTCTTTTACCAAACTGGTAGGGAAATAAGGTTGAGTGTAAGTATCAACCAGAATATATATTACCTTTTTACCTAGTAGTGACAATTCCACATTGTTGATGCTAAATCTGAAATAGCATCAAGATTTACCCTGAGAAGTTTGGTCACATGACTATTACAGCAAAACATGATCAAAACCCACAATTCACCCGTGGCTACTTCCTTAGAGGCTGCAGAATCATAGTAAGGATGATAAAACACGGTTCAAATGCGGCTTTTCCTAGGATGAACACAAGTACACAGACAAGTGCAAACTAGGAAAATAAAGACAGGGCAGTCTTAATGCTCAAAAGTACAATATCCTACCCTAACACTAATGTAGGGGTGTGGCCATCTCTTTACCAAAATAATGTGTGTAAAGGCTCTGAAAACACTATATGAGTTTAAAGTATTGTTATTATTAGGATTCCCACTATTCATTCTTAAGAAGTTTTAAAAAAAACCTTAGGAATTAAAAGTGAACTGCAGCAAACTGTGGGGGAAAATACACACTTCAAGAATACTGAGACTGTATATTATTATTTATCACATTATCACACTTCTTAATACAACTCAGACAAAATATTTCACTAATATTACCTCCCAGAAATAACGTTTTCATCATTAAAACATAAATAAAAAATAGAAATAAATACTTACTCACAATACCAAACTGTCCCCAAGACAGAAGTACAGCCAAAATTGGGAAAATAACAATGAGGATATTTTCATTTGGAGAAAACCATGAAACTGGGAAGAAAACAAAAATCACAATTAATATTTACTCTAATCATGTTAAGTCCTGCTATGAATAGTCAATATATTTTTATTGTGAAGATGGAAAATAAAAATAACTTATTAAAGCTGTGGCCTTAAAATAATTACAAATTACACAAACAGTTCACTTATACAGCAAAGTTTATGAAACAAGAAGCCAGTTTAAGTGTTTTTTTTTCCACATTTTCCCTAACCTATGATTTATGGAAGGAGACAATATGGCACAGGAGCTGAGAACAGGGCTCTGCAGCCACGAAGCCTGGCTTGAAACCTAACTCTACGTTATAAGCTTTGTGAGTTTGGACAAAGTCTTAACACCTCTCTGTTCTTTAGTGATCTCAACTGTCAAACCAGTACAACATAGTACCTACGCCTCGAAGGACTATTGCCGACTATTAACAAAGCTACTACGTGAAAAGGGCTTAAAATGGGGACTCCTGGGTGGCTCAGGCGGTTAAGCATCTGCCTTCTGTTCAGGTCGTGATCTCAGGGTCCTGGGATCGAGTCCCACATCAGCCTCCCTGCTCAGTGGGGAGTCTGCTTCTCTCTCTCCCTCTCCCCTCTCCCCATCTGTGCTTTCCCCCTCCTCTCTCTCTCAAGTAAATAAATAAAATCTTAAAAAAAAAAAAAGAAAAGAAAAAAGAAAACGGCTTAAAACAAAAGCTTGGCTATGTACCGAATAGTCAACCTTCACTACAATGATTATAATGTTATTAAGGAAGTTTCTGTTAAGTGGGTCACATGTTACCTAGACAGTGAAAACAGAGCCACACAGTCTACATGAAGGAAACTATGACATTAAGACTTCAAATAATTTGAGAACTTTTAGAACATTAAGTTTCATTTCATCTTAACACGTAAGACACTGATTTTATCTGTGAAATTTCTTCTTTAACAATAAAGCCAAATAAAAGCACCAAAGACATTTCAAAGTTTGCCTGTACATGGGGAATTTGCTGTTTGAAGAACATTCCTAAACATTGCCCAAAGCAAGCACTGGTGGTTCCTCTGAAAACAACCCTACTCATTGAAATCCTCCCGGGCTCTGCCATTCCGTATTGGCATGTGAAGAACCTTGTGGGCTTTCATACCATAATGATACATTTCTTGTAGTAACCTTACATTAAAACCTGGCAAATTTTCGCAATATACAAAATGTAACACTATAAATTCTTAGAGATGTTACCTTTACAGAATCTAGCATTTCGCCCTATACATAGTAGAGACTCCGTAGGTTTGCTGTTGAAGGTTCTAATAGTCATGAAATAGTTCAGTGAGTGAATGGAAGACTGTGTTTCATTTTTTGCAGATCTCTACCAAGAAACAGATTTTTCAGATACTCTGAATCAATACCTTAATTTCCAGCTGTGTTACTATCTTCTTACACCAAAGAAAACCTATTTTAATTTGGCCTAAAATCCTACCAGGAAAAAATTTTGTAAATTATGCTTAGGTTTTCACATCTAATGCCCAAACGATTTGATAAAAGCTCTATGACCTAATGACTATTCCTAATCAATTTATTTTCCCTATCCATTTTCTCTATTATTTTGTTTTGAGTTGTCTATATTAACTCATCAAACCCTCACAATTATAATTATCAACCCCTCCTTAATACTGAGGAAACTAAGGCACAGTGCAAGGATCTTTTTTCATTTTTATTTTTTTTATTACGTTCAATTAGTTAGCATATAGTACATCGTTAGTTTTTGATGTAGTGTTCAATGATTCATTAATTGCATGTAACACCCAATGCTCATCACCACATCTGCACTCCTTAAGACCCATCACCCGGTTACCCCATCCCTCTACCCCCTTCCCTATGGATAAAGGGCTGGTATCCAAGATATATAATGAACCAAGAATCTTAAGTATCTGAAGTTTTCATGTCCCAAATGGACTTCTGATACCCCTCCACCTACTTCACCAAACCTCCCCTTCTCAGGTTTCCCCATTTTGGTAGTGCTGACTTCTCCAATTACTCAGACCAAAAACCTTAGAGTCATCCTTGACTCCTTGGTTTCTCTCACACCCCACACCCAGTCCCACAGCAAATCTCATGGGCTCTACATTCAAAATACAGCCATTATCGGATCAACATAATCAATATGTGTTTAAGATGAGCTGACAATGAAATGTTCTTTCACTGACCTCCCTCCCTACGCAACAAAACAATCTCAGGATATATTGATAGAAACCTATTAATACGAGGTGTGTCTGACCACAATATTTATTGAAATCACACCATGGATAGGGTATTCTAGACACTTAAGGCCCAACAGTGAACATGGCAGGTGGGGCCATGAGCTCGAGGAGGAGGAGGAATTGAAGACCAGATTTTTATGGGTAGTAAGGAGGGGTCTCCGGGGTGAGGAACTGGATCTGAGCCACATGAAGACAGGGAAGAAGAGACACCAAAGGAACAGCAAGTTCAAGCAACTAAATGGTGGCTAGAATTTAGTGATACAAGAGGAGATGGGAAGAGTCTTGCTGGAGAAAGATCATGTTGTGTCTTAATAGCTTGTTATGAGAGTTTGGATTTTATTGTAAGAACAATGCTAAGTGACTGGAAAGCTTCAAACAAGGGAGAAAAATGACCATGATTCATTTAAAATCTTTGCCAGCCATGTGGAGAATGGATTACAGAAGCAGGATCGATCAGAAAGTTGCTGCAGCAATTGGGTAGTGGCAGGAAGGCAAGGTGTGACCCACAAACACAGTCTTGAGTACATTTCCACTCATCACATTTAAAGACCTAACAGGGAATTGTTCCAAAGGAAGGTGACTAGAAAGGGGATCCTGAAACCATTAGCAATGGCTGGAAGAACTGGGGATTTCAATCTTAGAGAAGAATAAGCTTGGGAGGGAAATACCATAGCTCTCCTTGTGAGAAATTACAGGGACTGCAAATTCTAGCCTGACTTAAGTTAGAACTGCCTACTAATAGACCAAGATCCTTTGGGAAGTAAGAGAGTTTCCTCATGTCAAGTGTTCAGGTAAGAAGGCTGAATGATAACTTCCTGGGGCGTGATAGAAGTAATTCATGAATTAGACAGTGAGAGACTAAATGATTAGTGGAGGAGTCCAAGCCTCTCTGTGGAAAAAAGAAGTGTAAGGGACATTTCAGTGACATACAGAAGGTGGGACTGTAAAACAAAAAATACCATCGTCTAAGTGATTCTTAATTGAAACTCATCAGAAGGTTTATTCATACTTCACATACACTCCCCTCTCAGACTCACCCCAAGATTCTAATATTTTCTCCATAGTAAATGCGTGTGTGTGTGTGTGTGTGTGTGTGTGTGTGAGAGAGAGAGAGAGAGCACGCACACATGTATGGAGGGGGTGTTCCGTCATTCTCTCAGTTCAAAATCACTGCTGCACACCTCTGCCATAATTTATCTCTTCTCACTGACATGAATGTGTTACTTCTCTCTAATTTGTTAAGATGGAGAGTCTGAGGATCACCACATTGGACATTCAAGAACCAAATGAGATGCTGGGGGGAAAAAAGCCCATGTTTTATATAAAACCACTTATATGTCCATTAAGCTATTGATTTGTTTTGGTACTATTGTCAGATGACTTTAACTTTTGTTCCTCAATGGGAGAAAAGAGACAAGATACTTCTCTAAGGTCCTTCTTAAATTTTGAATGTCTATGGCATTAAGAAAATAAGCTTAAAATGGACTAAGAACACTATCAGATATTTTTCCACTTTAGGAATAAGAAAGATAATCCAAAGGCAATGCTATTCCATTCAAGCTATGGCTGACAACTCTGCCCATTTCTCTTCCCCAATTCCTGTTCAGGTAGTGTGGCTCTCAGGAAGATGAACTCATTAATGGAAAAGCAAAGAAGTGATATTAAGAGGGTATGGTCCATGAATGTTTAAATTCTTCTTCCCAGCCTAAGTGTTATAAAAACCCAATACTTCTTTCCTTTATCACTGCGTACAAAATGGGATAACTGGAAAAAGTGAAAAGATCACTTTAATCAGTGTAAGTGTGCCTTTCCTTCAAATATATCATGGTAAACCTTTACAAACACCAGTTTCCACAAAAGAAGATCACGATAAAATTTACAACACTAAAATTCAAGCCAAATTTTTACTTCATGTTTCAGGATTGTGATGACTTTTCTGAGTTGCTGACTTGGCGAGGCTACAGTCCCTGATTACTTACATAACCCAGAAATCTAAGGTGGCTCCCCAAATCCCTGCTCCCTGCAATCAGCCTTTTGTAATTCCTTCCCCCTTGAAGAAGGGATGGGACAGTGAATATGATGGATTTCATTCCCATGATTATGTTGTGTCATATGTCAAAAGGGATTTTAATGATGTGATTAAGGTGCCCAACCTGTTGGCTTCACAGAAGAGCAATTGCCTATGGGAGAGAGGGGGCTGGTCTAATCAAATGAGCCCTTAAAAGGGTCTGTGGTCTTCCTGGAAAAGAATTCAGTATGTGAGAGGGATTCTACAGGAGGAAGGATCTTCTCGGCTGAGTTTACATATGGAAGAGGCCATATGGCAAGGAATGAAGCAACCTCCAGGAGCTGAGAGGAGGCCCTAGTAGACGTCCAGCAAAGAAACGGGGACCTCCATCCCATAATCACAAGGAACTGAATTCTACCACAATCATGTAAGCTTGGAACAGGACCCTGAACTCCATATGAGAACACAGCCTGGCCGACACCTTGATTTTAGCCTCGTAAGACTTCTTGTGGAGAACCTAGTTACACCATGACCAGAACTGTAGCCTACAGAACTGTGAGCTAATAAATGGGTACTGTTTTTAAGCCAGTACATTTGTTATTTGTTACACAGCACTAGAGAACTATTGCAAGGATCTTGCAATGCCCTCATGCCAACATCATGAGCATAATGTATATCATGTTGACAATGATGGAAATGGCAACTCTACTGAATCTGAACTTACTTTTTTAAAACAAAACCTTAATAACTCACTTGGAGAAATGTAAAATTTTAAGCCTCCACGTTTTTGTATTATTAATAATATCAATACAGATATTAATGACAAATTTTATAACTATTATGTATATTTAGTATTTAGTTATTTACAAGGTGTTTTGAAAGAAACCATGTAGCATGGTGGTAAATATCTTGGGTTTTGAAGATAGACAGATCTAAGTTAAAATCCTGGCTGTGACTCAAATCTTGAACAAGTAGTTTAAATCTAACCTGTTTCCTCAAATGTTCAATGGTAAGACCCATGTCTGTCTCCTAGAGTTCTTGAGAAGATCACAGGATACAAGATACATGAAGTATATTGTATGCGCTCAAATAAATGTTAGGTTATTTTACTGTTCTTATTTATACTGCTATCATTTCCGTCAAATTAGGGATCATGTCTTAGTCATCACTGAATCCGTAGTGTCTAGCACAGTGCCCGGCACATGGCAGGAACTCAATAAATCTTTTTAAGAAAGACAGATATTAACATACATCTCAAATGATTCTGTCATGGAGATGGTATCCCCATTTTACAGATAAAACTGAGGACCACATAGAGGTTGAGTTTCTGAAACAAGTCTTCTTAAACTAGAAAATGGTAAAGTATAGAAAAAGCTTTCTAAATTCAAGTCCTGTGCTCCTTGCATGGTACAATACTATACACAGACACCAGAGGCATATAAAACTCTAATTCATATATAGTGCTTGCACATACTCCGTCTTAGTGCTCAAAAAAAGAACACAAATGGTCACCATTACTCCACATTCCACTAATTAGAATTCTCTATTAAGTAATTTCTATTCCTCCTTTATGCCTACATTTGCAAAAAAGCACAACATAGTAAAAATGGTTTCTACCGCCTAAATCCCCAAAGTCCACATGATGGGTATGTATCTCTACTACAGTAACTTTACATTCCACAGTAAGAGTCCTGCCCCAAATTAACATTTCTGAGCAGAGGAGGTTTCTTTCTTTCTCCAGTCAAAAAATGAGTATAAAACAGAGACAACACCAGATGCTGGCAAGGATGTGGGGAAACTAGATCGCTCATATCCTGCTGTTAAGAATGTAAAATGAAAAAAACCACTCCGGAAAACAGTTTGGCAGTTTCTTTAAAAACTAAGTATAGGGGCACCTGGGTGGCTCAGTCGTTAGGCATCTGCCTTCGGCTCGGGTCATGATCCCGGGGTCCTGGGATCGAGCCCCGCATCGGGCTCCCTGCTCTGTGGGGAAGCCTGCTTCTCCCTCTCCCACTCCCCCTGCTTATGTTCCCCCTCTCCTGTCTCTCCCTCTGTCAAAAAAAAAAAAAAAAAATCTTTAAAAACTAAGTATAACCCAGTAATCATACTTCTGGCCATTTATCCAGAGAAATGAAGAAGACTATGTCCACAGAGAAACCTGTACACAATTGTTCATAGCAGCTTCATTTGTAAAAGCCAAAAGCTAGAAACAACCAAAATGTCCTACAATAGGTGAATGGTTAAACAAGCTATGATATACCCATACCATGGAATACTACTACTTAGCCAAGAGAGAGAGACAAACAGAGACACATAGAGAGAGAATGAACTATTGATACAAGCAACAACTTGTATAGCTCTCAAGGGCACTGTGGTGACTGAAAAAAGCCAATCTCAAAATACTGTATGATTCCACCTATACAACATTGTTGAAATGACAAAATCACAGCCACAGAGACCACATTAATGCTTGCCAAGCTGGGGGTAGTTGCGGGGGGAAGTGACTATAAAGAGGCTGCATGAGGGAGATCTTTGTGTCAATGGAGTAGTAGTTCTGTATCTTGATTGTGGTGGTGGTTACTTAAATATATACATGTGATAAAATGACAGAAATATACATACATTGTTCCATTGTGAACTTGCTGGTTTTGATATTTTACTACAGTGACATAAAAAGTAATCACTGGGGGAAACTGGGCAAAGAGTAAATAGCACCTTTCTGTTCTATCTTTGCAATTTCCGATGAACCTTTAATTATTTCAAAAAATAAAACTGGGTGCAAAGTCAAATGTCTGAGACCTCTGGTAGAGTTTTCCACATTCTCTGCAACAAAACATTACCTTCTCATTTTAATGGCCCGAAAGGTAAGTACAACTAATTTTTTTACAGGGTACTTTGAAAACAAAGATAAAATAATTACACTTTTATAAAATTATAAACTTTGTCTTCATCTCAGATATCGGTATCTCTTCCCCATCCACCTTCATTCCATTGTCAAGCCTTTCAAATTTCTTATCTAGAGTTTAACAGTTTGCCTCTCAGTGACTGACACCATACTCCAAAATTACTGCTTCCCCTGGTCTTATTTTTCATTCCCACAAAAGTATACATTCCTTCAGAAAAATTTCAGCTAGGTAGTAGGTTATCTAATTCCAGTCGCTGTATTTGAATGATTAGACCCTGCTGAAAGGCATACATTTTTTTAAAAAGCTCCTTAGTCCAAATAAATATCAATTTATAAAGTTACAATGTAAGAGATTTTCTAGCAGAAACACCTTCCAAATTCTGCCAGTCTGCTCTAAGCTACCTCCTGCCCATTCCTCACTGTACAGAAATCCCTCTCACAATATCCCAGGCCAGCTTCAACAACTTGTTATCTTACTTCATAAAATAAAGATCCCAGGAACACAACCAACATTTGCAAAGCACTCTGGCTGACACAGAACTTACACACAAGAGATCTCAGTTGATGCTCATTATACTGTAGGACACATAAAAGCAGGGATCTATTTTCATCCCCATCCCAGAGATAAGGTAACTTGGACTCAAGAGAAGAAACTTCTCAAGATCATACAGGCAAATAATTAAGTTGCAGAATAGGGGAGAGAATTCAGATCTCCTGATTTCCTAATCCTAAACCATGTCAAAATGTTCCATCAAACTAAACAGCCCACTCTCAATCTGGTAAGAGACATTTTAGAACCACGAACACTAGAAGAATAGAAGGTAAAGAGTTGATACAATTGAATTGTTCTAGTCCCGTCTAAAGCAGAGGTTCTCAAAGCATGGTCTAATCCTAAAATCAGTGATTGTATGTCTAGTGATTGTAAACTATTTCAAAACAGAGAGTCATAATGCACTTGTATGTAGTTGAAGAAATCAGCTGGCTGAGAAAGAATAGAAAAGAAACCAGGCTGTTTACTTCAGGTAACTACTGCTTTATACAACTCACCAAGCCAAGTTTGTGAAGAAAAAGCAGAATCATGGTGCTATAATCAAGGCTGAATTCAGATACAATGAATTGGATCTCTAGTTCTTCTAAATCTTGGCCAGTAAAAAAAATACCAAAGCAAAGCTAAGCACAGGAAACCTCAAGGACTCATCCATGATAACCTGATTTTTTAATCTCCTGATTCTCCTTCTAATCAATTCTCTGCAAAGGGGACATGGCCAGGCCTTGTCAACCCTTGATCAAAGTGTAAAGTTAAAAAAAAAAAAGGCCAAATAATTGGAAAGAGACTGGAAAATTAATCACATGAAAGAAAGTACTTTTGATGGCAGCAAACAGAAATACAGAGTAGATGACCTCAGGACTGCTCACCCAAACAGAACAGTCCTTGGACCAAAAGTTTGAGAACCACACAATATACAAATTAGCCAACAACAAAGGGGTTTTACTCTGAAAAGTAGAAGAGCAAATAATATAAAACTCATGATCTTAAAGCTGTTAAACATTACATCAACATTTATTATTAATAAGAGTACCTAGGCCCATTCTGCCCCATTTCTAACAGGGTCAGGATGCTACACGACAAATAAATGGGAAGCTTTTATAGAAATCTTACCAATTCGGTATTTTAATTCTATGACGGTTTCGCCTTCTCTGCTTAATTCAGTTACTTCACAAGTGTAGTTTCCTACAACAGCTTCTTCCTTATCCATCTCCAAAGAGGCAATGCCAGTTAGTAATTTTTGTGGTACGATTTTTGTACTCTTAAACTTATCTCCATGAGTGGTCTTTTGTAGAGCTCCATTAAAGGTGAAAATGTCTTTTCCTTTTAATTTCCACTTTACATACATTTCATTAATGTTTGTTGCCTCCACATTATTAACAAAGCATGGGATGGTAACACTTTCATTGCAAGCAGTGTATTCTACAGATTTGGTTATGTTAAATATTAGCTGAGCTGAACCTGAAAAAGAAAAAGAAAATTGTTTCATTTCATTATAGAATTCTATACTTCAAGTTGTTACAAATCCTTAAGATAAAGAGCAATGTTTCACTTGTTCATTTAAGCAAACAGTGCAACTACAGAGAAGACAGGCAAGGTGAAAAAAATCCAAATTATTTTAATATTAATGTGCACAGCTGGTAGACAACATTGTAACTTTTACTTACTCAATCGCAGTAATACAAAGTATACATTAACATACATCTTGGGAATAAATGCAGCAACCCCGTTGGAACATGCAGGTGTAGTATTTGGCTTTGGAGCTTTGAAGTAATCATTACTGCCTACTGACTGATGTAGAAAAATAGTGTCCTAACCATGGAAAAATTCTGAACAGAAAATCAAACCAAATATTATATTCAGTATATACTTCCTCCAAAAAGAACTTGCTAAACTGATAGGAAGTTTATCCTTATGTTGCATTTCCAAAAAAGATGACGGGGTCTACTTTAATACAAAAAAGTAAACCAAATGAATCACATCACATCTCTCCACGAGGATGGAAAGTCAGAATACTAAGAAGAAAAAACATTCTCTGTGGCTATTTTCCCATTGCAAAATACAGCCAGCAACAGTCATTTTGTATGTAAGTATTAGGAAGGTTTATATACAATAGAAAGGCATTTTCCCACCCCTATATTTCACTGAAACTATGGAACAACAATTTCCAAATATATATTACAGGTATTCTTCCTCCTAGAAACCATAAACCGCTCAAAAAAAAAAAGCTAAGAAACAAGTTAATACCAAGAGCAGGTACTGCTAATAAATAGGATATATACTAGTCCTCTCTTATCCATGGCTATGCTTTCTTTGGTTTCCGTTACCTGTGGTCAACCACAGTCTGGAAGCAGATCATCTTCCTTCTGACACATGGTCAGACAATCTATAAGTAGCCTAACTCTAGGTCACATCACCTTGCCTACATCCTTCATCTCACCATGTAAGCATTTTATCATCTCACATCATCATCAGAAGAAGGGTAAGTATAGTACAATAAGATATTTGAGAGAGACCACATTCACATAAATTTTATTATAGCACATTGTTATAATTGTTCTATTATTAGTTATTGTTGTTAATCTCTTACTGTGCCTAATTTATAAATTAAATTTAATCATAGATACATATAGAAGAAAATAGTATATGTAGGATTGGTACTATCTTTGGCTTCGGGCATCCACTGGCAGTCTTGGAATGCATCCCCTACAGATAAGGTGGACTACTGTATTCTATCAGTACTTCTCTAGAGAATAAACTATCATTGCCTTACAAAAGAGGGACTGGAAAAGGAAATTCAATCACTTACCTTTCATCTAATATGTATGAGAATATGGAGAAATTATAGCTGTCTTCCATACTGTTCAGCCATTTATCAACTCTTTTACCTAAGTAGTTAGCTGGCTCCTCCCTCAAAAAACAAAGCACTAACAAATACAAATAAAACATCAACTTCAATAGTTCATCCTTAAGATTTCTTCTCTCTACATTTATAAAATGGGGAAAAAAATCAGGAGCATCGGATGTTATTACCTTAGGAACATAATTATTATTCAGTAACTGCCCACTGAGTTGAATGCTAGGATGCAGTGGAATATGAAGTGGACAATGTTCAGAAAGCCTGAGTACAAATTAAGCAGTTCATTTAACTTTTCTATGCCTTGGCTTACTCTCTGTGAATAAGAGGATCAAAAACGAACACTGGGCTACTTCACAGAACTGTGGTGAGCATCAAAGGAGAAAATACCTGGGCAAGTGCTAACAATACCGTGGCTATAAACACGAGGGGCAATACTATAAAAGTTAGGGGATATGGCATTTTACTATAATGATCTGGACCTTCTCTGACTGGCAGGTCCAAACTGTTTTATTTCTGGGAATTTGCAGTTTGAACTAGCCTTGGGGATATCCATAGCGCACCTCTTCCCACTTCTCTACATTTCTTGCCATCCAAATATTAGGAAGCCTCAAGCAAAACCTGGACTTCCAGCTGCATTCTTCGAAGCCTTGGGCTCGGGAACTGTCTTCCCTGAAAAAGAAGCACTGGGGGTGGGGAGGGGAGGAACTACAGTGTACAAAAAGGAGAGAAGTAGGGGTGCCTGGGTGGCTCAGTCGGTTGTGTCAGACTCTTGGTTTCGGCTCAGGTCATGATCTCAGGGTTGTGGGACTGAGCCCCACAGTGGGCTCCGCACTGAGCAGGGAGTCTGCTTGAGATTTTTCTCTCTCCCTCTGCCCACCCTCCCCCCCACCTCTCTCTTAAATAAATGAATATATCTTTTTTTTAAAAGATTTTATTTATTTGAGAGAGAGAGAGAGAGAGCGCGAGCGCACATGAGCAGTAGCAGAGGAAGAGGGAGAGAGAGAAGCAGAGTCTGTGCTGAGCAGGGAGCCTGATGCAGGGCTCAATCCCAGGACCCTGGGATCATGACCTGAGCCAAAAGCAGACGCTTAACTGACTGAGTCATCCAGGCGCCCCATGAATAAATCTTTTTTTAAAAAAGGAGAGAAAAAAGTATGATGCTGCAATCAGAAAGAAAGGAACGTGTCAGAAAATATAAGTTTTGAAATGGACAAAAAGATTACTGAGTGTCCTTTCAATGGAGTGCTGGGAATTGTGTGACAAATTCCTTGGGAATATTTCATTCTGTAGGGGCCTATGCCTTTCACTGTGTTTATCTGTCTGAGCTATTTTACAATTTTGGTAAAACTGATGGCAATGCAAATGATTTGTGTCCATAGAGATACAAATAAACTTTGTTCTGCAATTCACTTCTCCCTGGTGAAAGAAGAGAAGATTTCAAAAAACCACGTTTTATTGCCTTGAGGATAATATTGCATCTATTTGAAAATTCATTTCACCATTCCTGATTGCCTATAAATGTGTCTGTTCTCTAAATTTTCTTTTAAAACTGAGATGGTTTTACCATCTTGCTGGTTTACTTGCTAATTAACATGTGAAATAAAATCTTTGATATGTGGTCATTTTGTATTTGTTTCAGTCAAGATTTAAAAAATTATTTCTAAAAATTACCCCTTAATAAATAGATATAAGTAAAGAGCTCAGTTATCCTAGCAAACTTTTTTACAAGGCTCTAAGTAAGAAGTGGTTGGCAAAACTCCACAATTTCATCTTATATCCAGAAAATGAATTTTCTAAAGAATACAGAAAGCACTAACATTTTTTGTTGCACTGCATTTTTTGTTGCAATAAAACAATCTTATAGCTGAAGCAGTTTAAGTAGAATAAATGCTATCAATAAAATTAAAAGTAAAATTGACCTAAATAAGCCATAACTTGAATAACCCTTGTGCTAATTAATAAATAAGAGTAGTCCAAAAATGTCACTCCACCAACTGTTAACTACAGCTTCATCCTCTATAAACATTTATTAAAAAAACAAAACTATTAAGTAGTAAAATTATCTGATTTGGGTTTTCTCTCTTTTTCCTGCTGCTTTCTGATGAAACATCAAAGTGAAAAAACAAGATTTAAAATATAGAGAGCAAATAAAAGTATGTAGATAATTAACATAAGGAAACTGATTAATCAAGAAATGCCTATAGCAGTCTAAATCAGATAGGAATAGGTAAATACAACTAACCATCAGTGATGCAAGAGCTACAGATAAATTAACAACTGAAATGGGGAAATTATTTTATATAAAATGCCAAAAATACTAGACTTCACAACCTCTATAAATACAGACCACCAACTGAAACCATCTCAGACCACAGCCCTGAAAACAGCTGTTACATGTTGCAGAGACTACCAGCACACAAATCTAGCTCTGAAATGTACAAATGCAACAAACACTCATTGAGAATTACCTGATCTGAAACATTGTGATAGGATGAGGGGATACAATGAGGGAAAAAACCGGGAATTATCTTTTGGAAGCTTCCAATTCTCATTTGGAACAATGATACATACTTTTTATAACAGGAGGTCATAAGTGCTATCCTTTGGTATGAACAAAGTGCTATAGATGGGCAGGAGAGTAATCAGTCTTCAGATTTCTAAGAAAATTTGCATTGCTACTAGGGGAACAACAGAAGATTGTCACAGCTCCCGCCCATCTGGGCCTTCAATCATTTATCTTTTTATATGTTCCATGCAAAACCTCTCTCTCCTTTGTAACCCTTAAATCACTCCCCTTTTGCAAAAGCTTATCCTATACTCTCCAAAAAAGCCGTATTTCTTAATTTGAGTCCTTTAGATGAGAAGCCAGAAGCTTCCAAAACTTCCCACCTACAAAGTTACCTGCAACCCCAACTATCCACAGACCCCTCACCTTCCTCCTCTTTACAACTGTACCCCTTCACCCATTAGTTTTCATTTCTGCCTCCACACCCACTAGTCACCCCAAGGACTTTCCCTAGTTGATTATCAGCTTCCTACACCCCTCATGCCATTCATAGGTGTTTTTTAACATAAAAGAAATGCTTAAATATTGACCAACTTTTTAAAAAGCACTCATACTTGTCTCCTCCCTAGCATCCTAAAATAATAGTCTAAATGCATTTCTTCACCTCCTATTCACTTCTTAAATCTCTGCCACATGGCCTCCACCTCTTCTTCACTACAACAGTTCGTGCCAAAGCCCCCAATAATCCCTCATGAAAAATGGAATGTGCACGGTTTTTACTCTGTCTTGACTACTGTATAGTTCCTGAGCCAGTAGGCAGCTCCTTTTTTGCTCTTATCTCTTGGCCTCTGTGATAGCTCTTGATTTTGAAGTTCCTCTTATTGCTTTGTCCACCCCATTAGAGCTTTCTTTCTTTATTGAAATCTATTCCTTGACTCACAATAAATATTAGTGTTCCTCAAAACTTCATATCCAGCACTGCCCCCCTCCCAACCCCCTGGGGCCCACCATTCTCTCTTACTCCACAGTTTTAACTACCTACACACTTTTTGTTTAGCCAGCCAGGCCCCACTTTCTCCTTAACTGCAGACCTGA